TCCAGCTTTTTCCACACTCTGAAATAAACGTTCTTAGCAAGAAACAGTAAACATAGTTACCGAATTGTATGTGCCTGGTAAATCATCAAGTGCAAAGTGAGTGCTTGATATTAGGTAAAACCAACCTAAAGCCCCATAGTTAAGTATCCCCGTGACACTGAACCAAATTTCTCTCGATAACTATCTGACCAAATTCGATAAAAGTTTTTTATTTGAATCCTATAAATTCATAGAATTCAAATAAAAATTTTTATCGAATTTAATCAAGTGTCTATTAAATTATTTTCGCTCAAAATTAGAGGAAAACAAAACGGCTATCAAAATATAAATTTTCTCTCTAACTTTGACGAAGATATCTCGATAACAGTCTGTCCAAATTTGATAAAACTTTTTTTCTTTCAATTCTATGCATTCATAAAATTTAAATAAAAAAATTTCATTGAATTTAGTCAAGTGGATGTCGAGATATCTTCGCTCAAAGTTAGAAAGAAAATTTGGCGTAGAATCTATTTTGATACGCATTTTGATTTTTTTCTTTGAGCGAAGATATCTCGACAAACACTTAATTAAATGCGATAAAATTTTCTTTTATTTAAATTCTACGAATTCATAGAATTCAAATAAAAAGTTTTAAAGAATTTGGTTAGATAGTTATCGAGATATCTTCGTTCAAAGTTAGAAAGAAAATTTGGCGTAGCTTCTATTTTGATTGACGGTTTGATTTTCTCTAATTTTTAGCGAAGATATCTCGGTAACCACTTGACTAAATTCAATAATAATTTTTTTATTTGAATTCTATATACCTGTAGAATTCAAACAAAAAAAGGTTTATCGAATTTGGTCGGGTGGTTATTGAGATACCTTTGCTCAAAGTTAGAGCAATGATAGGCGTTTTAATTTTTCTCTAATTTTGAGCGAAGTTATCTCGACAACCACATGGCTAAATTCGATAAATTTTTTTTTATTTGAATTCTATGAATCCATAGAATTCAAATCTAAAAAGTTTTATCAGATTTAAGCAGGTAGTTGTCAATATATATCTTTGCTCAAAGTTTTTAAGTTTTTATTTTTACCGGGATCTGCAACACAGTTTATATATCATGTGGGTGGCACTAACAAATTGGGAGGTGGCAATAACAACTCTCTTGTTATATTATATTCAGAGTTGACATGGACCGGTCAATGGTCAAGCTTGACCAGACCAGTTTGACCGGTCCGGTCAAAGGGTTTAGTATTGGTCAAATTGGTCAAATGATATTTAAATATATAGTATATATTTATTTATATACTATTTTTATTTTATTAATAGACTAAGCCAGTTGACCAATTTGACCAGACCACTTGACCAATTTGACCAGATCAGTTTGACCAGTGAATTTTTGGTTGACTAGCGATTTAACCAACACTGATTATATTCTAATTAAATATTTCATAAAATTATGAAATTGTAGAATTTTTTTAGGGCCTTTTTTGTGGTCTTTTTTTTAGGGTTAGGTTAGGGTTAGGGGTAGTTTTATTATATATGTTAAAAAGGGACCCCATTTTTCAGCATAATCCGATTTCAGCATAATCCCCCACAATTATATTGTTCTCCCTGCCGAACAACAAAACAAATTGGATATATTCTTGTCTCTATTTTTTTCTTAAAAAGATATTTATTTATGTAAATATCTCGTCAGTTCTTTAGGAATATCGGGAATCTAGTATGTACGAATCTTCTAAAAATTTTTTCTAAAAATATCAATTCTTTATTAAGCAAATCAATACGTAATCGAAAAATGTAGCCCGTCCCGAAATTTATTCGAATCTTGCAAAACAATTTTATTTCAGAGGGAGTTTGGGCCCTTTCTACTGCAACGGCCCCATTTAACACAAATGATATACATCACAAAAAATACATATAAGCTTATAAAATTAAAAAGTTTTAAAAATTTAAGTAACAAGCTATAATTTTTTTATTTTTAGACATTTAAGCATATCCGATTAGTATTTGCGTTCCTGGTTTAGAGAAAAACGTATATTTTATTTATAATCGACACTGTATATCGCTTTTCTTCTTGTTACCGTATTTACTCGAAATAACGCGCAGGGGTGTAAGTTCAAAATTTGGCCCGAATTAAGCTTAATTCGGGCTAAAAATCAAAATAACGCAGTCAAAAGACCAATTGAACCTCTTTATTTACTTTCGCTTTTATATATAATTCCTACAAATACATATTTTGTACAACACTTAAATTGTAAATATTTTTTAGAAAGTTTCTGTAAAATTTTGAAATATTGTGAAATACTTCAGAATTATGAAACATATAATCTCCTTCTCACTTAAGAATATTTTCATTGATGTTCCATGCTCATAAATAGATTAATTAACTTTTTCCATGTAATTGGAGTATAAAGAATGGTAATTGCTCCCTCGACTTTTCCAATCAATTTTTCTGCCAATTCATTCTCTTCATTATTTGGAATTGCTATAAAGATTATTCTTAGACTATCATTATTCATTGTTAGTCCTCTTAATTCTGATATTATTTTCGTGACCTCTTCTTCATTATTTTCATGAAGACTGATGAATACTATATCATAAACGGATTGATTGTTCAATTCCTTATATTTCTTTGCTGTTCTAATACTTTCATCAAAAGTATCAAATGCATCAACTTCTTTGATCATTTTAAAATATTTCAACATTGCATTTCTCGCATCTTCAATTGGATAAATTATTAGAATTCGTTTTTGTTTTATAGCTTGAGGTAATACACAACTCATTTGATCAAATTGTGTATTTAATAATGAGGAAGTGATTGGTAACATCTCAACATTCCATGTAAACCAAAATTTACTTCCTTTTCCTAGCTCACTTTCTACGTCAATTTCTCCTTCATTAATTTCGACTAGATTTTTACAAATTGAAAGACCAAGTCCTGTGCCATCTTGCATCGTAGTTAGTGACATGTCACATTTTGAAAAGCTTTTCCAAGCACATTTTATATAATCTGGATCCATGCTATTATTTTATTATCAAATAACTATATTAGATGACTTTTATGTTAATAGAGTATATTGATCATAAATAACTTACCCAATGCCAGTATCATGTATTTCAATCAACAATATTCCTTTTTTAACATTTTGACCATAAGTTGGTCTATCTTTGTCTTCATCAATATCGTCTTGTAATTGCATTGAAATCGTCAGTACGATTTTACCTTTATTGGTAAATTTAACTCTAAGAAATTAAGAATGAATCATATTGCACTGTGTTATGAAAAAAATAATATATGAAAAAAGAAATAGTTACGCATTTGATAATAAATGAGATAAAACTTGTTTCAGCCTATTTACAACAATAAGAGACAAAGCAAGTAATAAATAAATAAATAAATATACACATATTTATTTGCACATGAAATTACATTAGTTTAATCACCTATTAGGATCAGCCTTAACATATCTCGGGAACATATCTATCTCGCAATTTACAATTAATTCAATCTTTTTAGCTCCTGCTCTTTTTCCAAATTCCTCAATAGTATCCTCAAGTAATTCCAATAAATCAAATGTACTATTTATTAGAGTGACTTTTCGTGCTTCTAATTTTGCTACATCAAGAATATCATTTACTATAGCTAATAAAATATCGGAAGCGTTTATCATGATATTAATCATGTCTCTTTTATCAGTGGTCAAGGTAGTATTTTCAAAGGAAGAAAGAATGCCCACTATTGCTCCTAATGGTGTTCGTAATTCTATAATAAGCAATGAAGATTAAAAATTAATTAAAGAATTTTAGTACAGTAATACTCGATGGTGAGAATAATATATACCATGTGAAGTATTTGCTAATATTTGACTCTTGGTCTTATTTGCAAATTCAACAGCTTTCATTTTAATTTCATTTTCGGATTTTTCTTTTAAGCAATTTGCGTAAGTAATAACTAAACTTATTTGATTCGATATTTGTTGTAATAATTCAATTTCAGAATCGTGCCAAATAGAATGTGATAATCTATGTAATTTTATCCATCCCCAACAACCATCATTCAACCTTATTTCTACAGATAATTCTGATACATTTTTACAAACATCATCACAGTATACGTCTAAACAAACATTTATTCCTGAATTATTATTTAAAAATTCTTGTGAATTGGTTGATGGCTGTGATTTACTTATATCATTGATTTCTGTGGATAGATTAGTCATTGGTGTTATACTTTCTGAGCCTTCATACAAAGCTATTATTTTATTATTCCTAAATCCAGATTGGTCGTCAGTAATAATAAATATTCTTTCACTTGGTATTATACAATTGGTTTCTTGAATAATATCAAACAAAGATTTATTTAGATCCAATCCAAAAAGAATCTTATTTGATATTGAAAACATTAACTGCTTTGCCTCTTCTTCTTTAATTTGTAGAAATGATATTTTACAACGAAGAAGTGAAAGTTCAATATTAGCACGAATACGAGTAATTAGTTGACGAGAAGAAAATGGTTTTATTAAATAATCATCTGCTCCTCTATCCAGACCTAGAAGTATAAATAAATTGAAAACAATAATTAATTAAGAAGAATAATCCATTATTAGCATACAATATCTGATATAATAAATTTTAAATTTACCTTCGATCATAGAATCTTCTCCAGCTTTGGCAGATAATAATATTACTGGAATCAATCGAGTTTTTGAATTTGATCTTATCACATTTAATAGCTCGTATCCATTCATATTTGGCATCTTAATATCTATAAATTCAAATAATAATAATAAAATTTATAATTCAATCAATATAAAATAATTTAACTTAAAACTGCTTACCGCTAAGGATTAAATCAGGTAATCTGTTAAGTTTTTTTAAAAGCTGTACGGCATCTTGACCGTCACAAGCACAATGTACATCAAACTCTTTTAAAAGATTTGCTAGATGATCTCTACAAGCGTGATGAATAACAAATTATTTATAAATAATAATAATAATGATAATACTGAAGCACTCCATGGTGTTTAACACTATATGTAATTTTATTATTACATGGAAAATATGTAGCATTATATATCCAGATCATAACAAATCTTATTGAACAAACGCGTGAATGTGTATGTTATGTAAGACCCTAGCGTCACCAGTCTAAAAAAATTTCGCTAATAGTATTAGAATTAAGGTTTGGTATTTTGATTTGATTTTATGTTAAATCTGATCTTGTATTTAATTTGATCAGATTGCGAAATTTTTAGGCTGACGACGCTAGGGTGGTTATGTTTTTGATACACCAAAATATCAAAAAATAACCATGCATCAAAAACATTATTTTTGTAACATTCTGCTTAGACGTTAAAGATTCTCACTGCGTTGCAGATCAAAAATTTAGGGTTAGAGTGTTGTTATACGTAGTTCAAGGTAAAGGTTTTGGATTTTGAAGGTTATGAATGTTTTTACTTAGAACACTAAGTATTATTACGCTAATTTTTGAGATATAGGAACTGTGATGTTAAACACCAGTGGCGTGATTTATCAATGTCAATAATAAATAGCATAAAAATATTATTACCTCATATCATTATTATCATCAACAAGTAATATTTGATATTTTTTCATATTAATGGAATCATCTGTAGATAAATGAAAAGTAACATCTTCCAGTAACATTTTTTCAATATTCAAGTCTTCGGTTGATGATTTATCCTTATCATTTTGATCTTCATATGTACTGTTTTTTATCCATTGAGAACTTTCTTCAAAATAAAGCTGTCGATTGGAGTATATTTCTTGACCATGACTTATCGGAATTTCATTATTAATGTGTATTTTATTTGTTGGTAAGTGCTCACATCCTATTGGAAACCAACATTTAAATGTAGTTCCTTTATTTACTACTGAAGTAACAGTGATGTCTCCTCCATGATATGTAATTAATTCTTTGACGAGTGCAAGTCCTATTCCAGTACCTTCATGACTACGCGAATGTTGAGATTTTATACGATAAAAACGTTGAAATATATTTGGAAGGGCTGACTCTGGGATGCCAACTCCTGAATTAAATAAATAGTAATAATAGTAAAATGTTTATCATGTCTATTTTAATAAGTTAGCAATGAATGTTTATTAACCTGTATCTGACACTTCAAGAACTATCATCTTTTTCACATCTTTGTAGTCAGGATATAAACGAATAATTATGCTTCCATCCCAAGTATGTTTTAGTGCATTTGAACCTTTAACAAACAAAATATTTTTTAGTAAAATTAAGCCTGCATGTTTTAATACTTTGATTTTTTAAACACATATTTACAATACACACATATATATATTTAGGGAATACTTACAAAGATTATATACAATTGTTTCGTACATATCATGATCTAAATAAACCTTATCTACCACAGCTTGATTAAAATCATCACAACCTGGAATGTCAATAACGTAATCCAAACCTAATGTTTCTGCCATATTTTTAAAGTTAGTGGCCAATTCTTGAGTAAATTTAGTTATGTTTGTTTCACGATAACATATTTCCAAATTGTTAGATTCTATATTTGAAAACTGTAAAAGAAACGAATATTCTTTAATATAATAGTTCTGAAATTACTACAAGTGGATTTATGATTTGGACCTAAAATTTTAATATATATATAACTTACTTGTAACAATGTATTAATAAGTTTAAGCAATCGACGAGCATTACGTCGTATAATTTGAAGATTAGGCATTATCGACGCTTCTTTTGGGCATGCATTAATTATGTCTTCAAGTGGTGAAAGCATTAAAGTTAAAGGTGCTGGTATGATGAAAAAAAAGTTCAGTTTACATATTGAAAAAAGGTATAATACTTATGATAAATCAATACTTTTTAATTCATGACTAATTCCTTGAAAAAATGTGATTTTTTGGTGATTTAAATCAGTCAATGTTTTACATAGCTTCCTTTCCTCTTCAATTGATCTCGTATGTAATAAACATGAATTCAGATGATTTACGATTAACTAACAAATTATAATAGTATTTAAGTATTTTTAATTAATAAAAGCTAATTATGAGAAGTTTTACATACTTTTAAAAATTCCATATACTTCTCATCAAGTTTACGACGTCGATTAATACCACAAATTATTATAGCCGATAAAAAATGGCCTTCGCCAAGAGAAATCTTTGTTAATGAGAGTAAAGCCCGAGATCCATCTTTTAAAAGAACTTTTATATGACCACCTTCCTTTAATAAAAGGCGTAATGGCCAAGAATCATGTTCTAAGAACAAATAGGTTTCAGGTTCTCGATTTAATTCAGGATATGTATCTTTAGCTAAGTCAATTATTTCGGGAGTTTCAGGTAAATAATCAGGAAAAAGCCATCCTTTTTCATTATCATAATCAAAGGTTGTAGTGATTAGACGAGCAATCAAAGATTCAAAAGCAGTATTTAATTTATGTTTGACAAAATAAATCATTGCATAAGGAATATCAGCATTATAATCTCTCATCACTTTTGTAATAATATGGCAGGCATTTTCTAAGGATTCAGCCTCTTCAAGAAATATTAAGTCAATATAAGTGTGAGTTAACATACTGTATTAAATATCATAATTATAATATTATGAACACATGTTATATTTTAGTAGGATTTACTAACCAGGAATTCGACGACTAAGTTGGTGAAGTGTTTTTAATCTTTGAGTATTCAAAACTTTTTGTGTAGTTTCTGTGCTCATAATAAATAAAGCGCATACAGAGCCATCAGATTTTAAAATAGGGCTAAGTGTATAACTAAGGTACACCTCTTCCACATATCCATCACGTTGGAGTTCGTAAACCATATCATTTCTAGACATCCCTTTTCCAGTTGTTCTTACACTACGTATATTAAATTGAAATTTCAAAGTTAAATAGTAGGAAACTGAAACGAAAGCTGTAATAAGTCCGGTTCGAAGTCACAGGAGGCTTGTTGTGTTATACGAATATGCAATGACAGAAGAGTACACTAGCCATCAGGAAACCATGATCTATGTTATTTTATTGTAGTGCGTAATATTAAACCTTTTCATTGGCTAATTTTAAACCTTAATTAACAAAGTCACATTTTTATTTCTTGTATTTAAATAGAAAAAAAGCCCGAAGATATGTTGAAATTTTCAAAAATTTTCTATTCAAATACAAAAAATAATAATGTACTTTGTTGGTAGAAATTCAATATTAGCTTTTACAAAAGTTTTATCTTAAAATATACAATATCATTCTAATGTTTGTCGGTTTATTATGATGTATGTATATCAAAAATTTTTAAAAATAGCTTTGATTTTATGTCGCGCCTAGGGTTTTGAACCGGTTTTATTTTTCATATGTTTAAACCGATTAAAACCGGGTTTAACATATGAATAATAAAACCGGTTCCAAACACTAGCCAAAATTTATCAGATCATGTGTTGTAGATCACTGTCTAGCCAGTCAGATTTGTAAACAAATCACAATTTTTTAAAACTTTAAACGAAGATAATGCAGTACTACATCATAGAATTTGATTAAGTGATTATTGTGCTATTTGGAAAAATCTCAACGTTTATCAAAATATCTGGTGTGCTAAACTTTAAACGAAGATGGCACGGAACCCACTAACCAAATTCAGTAAAATTTTTTTTTATTTTAACCCTACGAATTCATAAAATTAAGATAAAAAACGTTCGATAGCACGGCAACAAAATTTGGTAAAAAAAAAAAAATTATTTTAATTCTACGAATTTATAGAATTAAAATAAAAAATTTCATTGAATTTGGTCAGGTAGTTGCCGCGTTGCCTACGTTTTAAGTTTTAAAAATTATGGCATGCAAATTTTTTAATCTATATAAAAAAAAAAAAAAGACTTTCATCAAATTTGATTAAATAGGTATCGCGCTATATCTGTTTAAACTTTTTTTAAATTACAATTTGTTTACAAATCTGATAATAGACAAATAACTACAGTACTTGATCTGATAAATTTTTTCCATGCCAGGCAGAAAATTCAAAATTACGTTTCACTTTACATAGGAATTGGAAGTCCTCTGCTACGCTCCAGAAAATTTCAAATGAAATTTTCTCCTGAAGTTGTTGTCATAGTATAGGAGGCTAAAATTGAGAATTGTACCTATTTTTTAAAGGGCAAATTAAAATTTATATGTAAGAATATAAGTAGGTTTTATATTTTCGAAAAAAGAAACTAAAGCTCAGCTTTAGCATATCTTAGCTTCAACAAACTTCAGTTTCAGCAAATTTCAAGTTTCAAATGTAAAAATTATTTCATGACTTACCTTTCATATTGTAAAGTAAGAATTTCATGTATATCAGGCCAAATTTCTCTAACTGTTTTTCCTAATGCTATTTAAAATCAAAAATAAATTTGTATTTACAAAGTTAATATAAACATATAAAAAGGATTTATTTAACTAACCATATGGATGTTTCGCCTTTATTATTGGTCGGTACGCTGTATAAACGAATATTAATGGTAATTTAAAGCCAGTCAAGTATATCAAATAAGTTGAATTCTAGAATTGGTTTACCTTTATTATATATTGCGACCCAATCCGGAGCAACAGAAATAAGGGTGGGAAATGCAGATTGAAGACATAAATTCTGAAATTGGCATGCGATTTTTTTTTTATTAAGTTCATAATTTTTTTAAAAAATGAAAAAAATAGCAAATTACCACAGCATTTTTTAGAGAAGTATCCCATAATTCCATAGGACCAAGCGAAGTTGATGACCAATTATAATTATAGACATTTTTAACAAAGTCTGGTTCATCATCCTCAATATTATCGTTGTAGGTTGACATATAAACTAAAAAATGAACGGCAAAACTTTCAGAGAGATAATAAGTCATCATGGTTAAGAGAATATTTGTAACTTACAGTTAATTTTCAAAAGGAGGGATGAACATAAATTTTTTGTTAATAATTAAAGCTTGCTAATTTTGATGTAAATATTTAACCGGACCTATAAATAAAGTAATTTTTTTTTTGTTTATATAATAAACCTATGTACGTACGTACACATACATATGTACAGCACATATATGTATTTAGCATTGATTTTCTCTTAACGTATATTTCACATTCAAGCCAATTCCACAATGATATTCAAAAAAATCATTTCTACGAATAAAGTTTGGCATTTTGCCACAAAAAATAGAGGAGACAACCAAAAGCTTTCCTATTACTGCAGTACTACATTAAGCTAATGTTAAGTTATGCATAGAAACCTTTCTTGTAGATATAATAGCACATAATAATTACTCAATCAAATAATGCATATATTTTATAACAGTTAGTATAAAAGTTTATCGTTCTCAGTCTGAAACTTATCATACGTACGTATGTATGTACTGTACCATAAAAGTTGTTATGCATATTACAGTATTAATATGTGATGAGTGACCAGATCCGTTTTTTTCAAAATCTGGTGTTACGTATCAGAAGTAGCATATCTAGTCAGCCCGATTCAAGTGTTTACTATAGAATACAAGTTTTTTAATGCTTACATAATCGATTTTTATTGGCTAACCTTGACGTAACTAATTATAATTGGTTAGTTAAATAAATATATTTTTAAATTAAACGTCTATTTTTTACCACAACCCAAAATCGATCCTGTTAAAACCGACAACCTGCCATATTCGGTAAAAAATCTATCACCAAGCTTGTTCCAATTTCCGATAATCTGTCATATCTGATAGTCCTAATATTTTAGATTCCTAATTTTTCAAATAAATAAGGCATGTGCTCAAATGAGACCATTCGGGTTAACTTGAACTCACTTCGAGTTCAAATGAGCCCATTCGGGTTAATTTGAACCCACTTAGGGTTCAAATGAGCCCATTCGGGTTAATTTGAACCCACTTCGAGTTCAAATGAGCCCATTCGGGTTAATTTGAACCCACTTCGGGTTCAAATGAGCCCATTCGGGTTAATTTGAACCCACTTCGGGTTCAAATGAGCCCGTTCGGGTTAATTTGAACCCACTTCGGGTTCAAATGAGCCCATTCGGGTTAATTTGAACCTACTTCGGGTTCAAATGAGCTCATTCGGGTTAATTTGAACTAAGGGTTGGACCTATTCAAAAAACCTTACCCGGGTTAACCGTCGGTTAGACTTCTTGGTTATCCGGGTTATCCGATTATCCTGGTAACCAAATAAGATCGCGGATAATGTGTAACCCATGAGGTAATTAATCAGATTTGGGATCACTGTTATGCAATTAATCAATCAAGCACCTCTCGAAAAGCATATACCGGTTGGTGTTGCATTAATCATCCAAAGTAATTTATGCAATTAATTATAATTTTTTTTCAAAGTTATTTCTTCTTGGTTCATGTTCTTTTATATTGAAAAAATTACAATTTCCTTTGTTCTTTTGTCTATGGTATTGTTTCCCGGGTAATTACCTGGCTAATCTACCCTGATAGGTTTACTCGGGTAACAAATATCTTAACCGGGTATCCGTTGCATCCGTGGGTTACCTGGGTCTAACCCTTAATTTGATCCCACTTCGGGTTCAAACGAGTATACATGGGTGCCTAAATTGCCTATCTTAATAAAAAAAAATAATTACGGCATTTAGTCAGCCGAAATTAGTCTTATATAGTGCCATTAATTGAACTCTTTTCATCAAAATACATCATGTGATAAAGTTATTTCTAGGAGTTTCATATAAAAAATTTAACAATACCGAAAAATTTGCCGAAAATACGATTTTTCAAAAACAATTTAGGCACTGTTGGCAGGGGTATAAGGATGAAACGAGTCAGGATAGTCACCACTCGTAAACTATACACAAAAAACAACTAACCCACACAAGGAAGAAATTTGGCGAGGTAAGGCAATTTGGTTTTATTGTGGGTATGGTTTATGAGATGCAAACGAAAGACGCTTAGAGCAGAAAAGAATAGTTTTATTGAACAAACTCAAGGGTTTTATTATTTGAAACTCGAACTTCATTGCCTTTACAACCTCTGCGAAACACTACTCTATGGAAAAAACAAAAAAGCTAAAAGAATACAAAGTCTTGCCATTCTTCCTATTACGCCACTACTACTGATTCCCATACCATTCCTTCCATCTACCTTCTTTTCCCCACAACAATATCAGCGACATTTTCGGCCACCCGATTTATTACTTTTATGACCATCTACGTAGTTACACCCGGATATCGGATCATCACCCTTTTTGGCCTAGGTTGGTCCTTCGGAAAGATGGGCTTTCCACGGGCTTACTCCTGACGCCACATCTTTCATTCTTCCCTGCCGTGGTTCTGGAGTAATCTGCACAGTACCCTGTGTTAATCCGACCACGATTTCTTCGCGATTTTTTTCCCTCTATCTCTTATCAGTTCAGGACTTTTTTAGGGCTTAGTCTGATTCTTATGCTTTTGGACCGTTTTATCGCATCTGGATGAGATCCTTGATCGGGAGTTTTTTTTTTTGGATGGTTCTCGTGACATCACGGGATTGTTGGTTTTGCCGCTAACAGCACTCATGTATACAAATGAGCCTATTCGGGGGGTTTGAACCCACTTCGGGTTCAAATGAGCTCATTCGGGTTCATTTGAACCCACTTCAGGTTCAAAATGAGCCCACTCTGGGTTTATTTGAACCCAATCTGAGCATAGTGATTCGAATCGACTAAAATTTTTTAGTTGACTAGTCAGTCGACTAATCGTATATTATATAATGTAAATACTATAAATTACAATTTATTAGTCAACCAATCAAAAATGTTGGTTAACTATTAATCTATATTAGTGTTGAGTTTTTCAAATTTCATGCGAATGGAATTTCGGCCAGTATTATAGCAGCTTACTGCTAATGCGAGCCAGAATTATGTTCCGAAATATTTCGAAAACTCCAAGTGCATGCACAACACTACGTAGTCTATATATTTATTATCTTTATTTTTAGTTGATTTTTACTCGACTAATAAAATTTAGTCGAATAGTTGATTTTAGTCAACTTAGTCAACTAAAAATTAGTCATTTCCTATCACTATCTGAGCATATTCCGGATTCATTTAGCCAACCAAACCTAACTTTGGTTTACCAGGTCCATTTTGAACCTATTTTAAGTTCAAATGGATCAAATCAGGATTCAAATAAATCCATTTAGATATAAAAATTTTGAAATTTAATTAGTCCATTAATGATAGTTAAACATATGATATTTCTCAAATCGATAGCCTTTCAAAATCGGTACAAACCCTGTTCACTGTGCATACCGGTTTTGACAGGGTAGACAGGGTAGACAGTATCTTTGTTCAATTTTTTTAAATAAGTGTTTTTTTAAACTTTGAATGAAGATATCTCGGCAACCATCTAAGCAAATTCGATGTCTTTTTTTTTAAAAAATTCTACTATCTGTAAATTAAAATAAAAAAAGTTCTTCGAATTTGCATAAGTGGTTGCCGAGATATCCTTGTTTAAAATTTTAATGTACATATGGGTTACACAAATTGATGTGCGAAAAAATTGCTTTATACGTATTCATTCGATATAGCAAAATTAATGAATTAATAAATAAGGTAGCCGCGCAACGCGGTTGCACCAAATCAGGAACGGAAAAATTATTTACTTACTAACAATCTCATATGCATACATGTAGTCATCGTAATTACCGAATTGGGTTTACCACAAAATCTCGAAAGACAGATTTCCGAAAGGACCTAATACCGACAAAGTCAGCCGGCATTAGTTATAATTCTGGCCAATTCAGCCGGTATTATGTTCTTTCGGGAAAATGGTTTTCGAGATTTTGTGGTAAAACCTACTGAATTATGCATTAGTGTATATTCTGTGATCTCTGAAATCGGTCTCTAGTAGTGATTAGTTCTGGTTTAAGAAAATCCGGATATCCGGATTTTCCGATTATAATAACGATAAGTTAAAAAAATAAATATAAACCGGATTACTTATAAAATTTAACCGGATATCCGGATATAAATCCGGATTTTATCTATACCGATATCTCAGGTTTAATTATATATATGTATGTACGTATAAAGGTACGAACACACTAAGCCATTAAATTTTTGCCACATGGTAGCGCTTTAAATGGTTTCCTTGATCCAATCTG